AAATACTGCAGGATTCCACTTATGTAACATATCTACACTAGGCAAAATAGTAGAGACAGAACATAATTAGAGGTTATCAGGGGTTGGGAGGAGGCTGGAATAAGGAATTGCTATTGCTTAACAATTACAGAGTTTTTGTTTGGGGTGATGAAAAGTTTTAGAAATAGTAGTTATGGTTATACAATAATGTGAATGTAAATAATGCCACCAAATTACACACTTAAAAATGGTTAAGTGACACATTTATGTTTTTTGTGTGTGTGTGCGTGTGTGTGTGTGTATATATAAAATCACAATAAAAACTTTAAAAGAAAACAGACCCCTGTTTTCTTTTATCAGAAATGTTATCAGGAATTGGAAAAAGGGAGAATCTCACTACATAATGGATGAAAGCTGCCAAAATTGTTACCTATTGTAATATGAAAAGCAAAACACCTAAGTTGAATTGCATAGCTAAGGAAATTTCCAAGCAAAGTGTTGAAGGTGCTGCTTGGTTTCTTCATGCTGCTTACAGTGAAATGTAGGTGAGGAAAGAAAGACTGAGGAATGGATTATTAAACTAAAAGAACAGAGACTGGATGATTTTGGAAATCAGCCAATTTTAATGGCAAAAGATGCAAAAAAGTATGAAATAGCTTTCACAGTCCTTTCAAGTACTGTTAGGGAAGGCTGGAATATAATAAAAGCTGAGGTAGTGATTGTAAAACCTTTTATTGCAACCTCAGAAAGATGAAAGAGTTAGAGCAGTATTGAGTTACATAAAGGGTCCTTTCTAGAGCAAGTTTGTGCCTCACAGATCCTCTCAACTACATCAGGTCACCTCTAGGGAGCTGGAAGGTGTTGTCTCTCAGCCATCTCAGCAGCATCCCAAGGTTGAGAAGGGCTATCTCAAAAAGGTCTGTGAATGTAGCTTTTGTTTAGTGGAGTAAACTTTGCGGAAATCCACTAAAGACCCATAACATTTTTCAGAAACTTATTTCCACAAAGATACCAGCAGCTTGGATGGAAAGGGACAGAGAAAGTACACATGAAAGACTGCTGGAAACCCCACACATTCTACTGGCAGGAAGGAAGTTGATAAAACTACTCAGCTGTAAATACATGCTCCCTTCAAGAAAAAGAAAGGATGATTCGGAAGTGGAACTAAGAGCCCAGAAGGCAGAGCCAGGAACCACAGAGCACTATGCCTCCTCCTTGAACTTAATTAAGCAACCCCCAACACTTGCTCAGCTAGCCTCCAGAATTTATATGAGACAGTGATTCCTTTATAATTTCCATTTGTCCCACCCCCCGACTGCCTTTTTGAACAGAAATGTCTAAAGCTATCACCGTTTGCCTGACTCTCCAAGTGTGCTAGTGGCAGATAACTTCTCCCTTTGACTTTAGAGATTAACAGACTGATGGGGACTACACCCAGATAACCTCTTCCATGTGGGCCTGATGTAAATGATAAGGTTCTGGACTTTGGGGAAATGGGTTAGTGAGATAAGACTGAAGGACCTTGAAAGTGGGTGAAATGCATTCAGCACATGAAGGATAGGGATGCGAATAACTAGAGAACAGAGAATCAACCGTGGCAGACAGACTCTGTGGCGACCCCAGTGAGTTCTGCCTCCTGATATTCATACCCTGTGTCATCACCTCCTCTAGGTTGTGGAGGCCTGTGTCTTACTTCCAAACAACAGAAGATGGCAAAGGGGTGGGATGTCACTTTTGTGATTATGTTACATTAAATGTGTAAAGCCCATCTTGCAGGGAGATTGTCTTCCTTGCTGGATTTGTAAAGACAAGTGACAACACCAGGAAGGATCCCTTGGCAAGAAACTGAGAGTGGTCTCTGGATAACAACTATGTAAAGAACTGGGATATGCAGTTCGACAGCCCACAAAGAAATGAATACAAACAACAACCACATGACCTTGGAAGTGAATCCTTCCCCAGCGGAGCCTCAGATGAGACCACAGCTTCTGGCCCATGTTTTGATTGAAGCGTACTGAGGCCCGAAGCAGAGGATCTAGCTAAGTCATATAGGAAATCCTGACCCATGGGACTGTGAGATTTCTAAAAGAAATGTGTGCTGTTTCGAGACAAAGAGTTTATGGAACTACTATTCCACAGCAGGAGAAAACTAGCAAAGATAATAACATTTGCATCTTGATAACATTTACAGAGGTCCATTTCTTCCTTTTCTTAGTAGCCTCTCTGGGAGTTGGCGCTTCTACTCAGTTCTTGCTACTCAAGAAAATATTTTCAAGGAATTTTCAGAAGAGAAAAACAAAGCATCTGTACATTCTAAAGTACATGTAAAAACTAAACTAGAGTTGTTTTTCAGGAAAACTAATGTGAATACTTCTGAGATTTTTGTTGCCACAAAGCTCCCATCAAACAATTCCACACACTGGAGATGTCCCAGATGAGAAAACACTAACTATAATCCTACCCCTAATTTAGGGAATCTTTTGGGAAAAAAACATTCATTGGCTTGTGGCCACCTACGATTTTGAGGGTTGATGTTGTTTAAATCAATATGATATGCATTTATTAATTATTTTGTATGTCTAGTTCTTAGTCTTTTGTATTCTCCCATGGAGATCATGGTCTCCTTCAATCTTGAGTTTAGGTCTCGAATATCTCCATTGTTGTAATTTGAATGCTTTTATATTTCTTAGGTAGAGAGACCTTTTATTTAACATGGCAGGGAAATCTCAGAACCCACTGCTTATGAAGACCACAGAGGAAACTTTAGGTACACGGTTTTTCTGGTTTTCATTAAGCTCCCAGTAGTCCCCTAGAAAGACTATTCAATAGATAAGTTTACATTTTATAAAAATTTTACATAGTTCCTGCTCTTACTGTCCATTTATTATTTAAATTCAAATTTTCCTCCATTGAGCAAATGCTAATCTACAAATGAACAAATCTTCTGTATGAAAGGAATATTTTACATGTAAGTCCCTCAAACACTTTTCCTCTTTTCCTGAAGACGTCACTGTATGAAAAATCCTATGTGGATACAAACCTACACATATGTTCGCCACAGGGTTAAAGAGCCTCTTCCTCCCTGTGCCTTCAGCCTGGGAACAGTGATAACACATGCTAAGTTTGCAGTGGTGTCTTGACTCCAGGGAAGACTTTGCACAGATGGAAGTGACTTTGCCTGGATGGGCTGAAGAGGTTGAGCATCCCTTAGCTGAAATGTTCGGACCACAAGTGTTTTAGATTTCACATCGTTTCAGATTTTGGAATATTGGTGAATATATATATATATATATATATATATATATATATATATATGTGTGTGTGTGTGTGTGTGTGTGTGTGTGTGTATGTGTGTGTACATGTATATATACACACACGTGTGTGTGTGTGTGTGTGTGTGTGTGTGTGTGTGTGTGTAGAGAGAGAGAGACAGAGATATCTTGGGAATAGGACCTGAGTCTAAATAAAAAATTCATTTATGCATCATATACACCATATACACAAAGGCTGAAGGCAGTTTTTTAAATTTTAAATATTTTTTTGCATAAAACAAAATTTTGTCTTCATTTGACTGCCACCAGTCAAAAGTTTTTTGACTGTGAAAGTTAAATAAATAAATAAATAAATAAATAAATAAAAACTGTGTGAAATTTTCTACTTGTGGCATCATGTCAGTGTTAGAAATGTTTTAGCTTTTGAAGCATTTTGGGTTTCATATTTTCAGATCAGGGATGTTCAGCCTGTACTAGGTGACAATTTATAGCGTTTAAAAACTTCCAAGCAATTTAAAGTTGTACAAGGCTTGGAAATAATAGGGAGACAATTCTTCTATAATAGGCTTTCCCACTTATCAACTGGTGTTAGAAAATGACAGGCTCGCACACGACTGTCTCAGGGACTGCTGCCAAAATGACAAACCCTGCTTGGTAAAATCATCTTCATTTCCTTTTAGTCAAAAGGAGTGAAATCTTAATTGGCAAGTGAAGGACACACTTGAAGATAGAAAGGAATGAGTCTCCTTAGTTGATTTAAGGTTGTAATAGATACCTAATAGCCATGTAAACAGTAAGTCTGTTGCTTTTGTTCATATAAATACTAATGGCATAGCAATAACTATACACAATATTTTTTTTTTCTATACACAATATTTTTATTCGAGGTTCCACTGAGCTCATGTCACCAAATACAAACTTACTACATTTTAATTAAAGGGCACTGGAAGCCATTCAGTAAGTTTATGTTAGTATAGCAGAATAAGTATCCCGAAAGCACTATGAAATTTACGTATTTGGATTCTTTCCCAATAGTGATAAATTGGAATACCCATTAATAGTATATCTAACACATATTAAGACAGATTCAATGATCTTGCAAAACAGATTCAATGATTACGATTACAGAGGTTAAGCCTCAAACCAATGTCCAATTCTACACCAAGAAACAAACTGTTAAATCCAAGACTAAATCAAAATGTCACCATGATGTGCCAAAAGCTCAGCATACACATGGGAAAGAACCCCCAATTTGGGTTGTGCTGCAGCTTCATTGAGAGTTACTTCTGATAATGCCCTCCTGTGCCTCCCAGAGGATTCACCAAGTCTGATGAAAACCTTACCGCACCTGCCCAATAGTGTCTGCATCTGGGACCTTCGTAGGTCCTCCTCCTATCTGAAGCTTTGAGATGGGTCCGGTTGAATTCTCACAAGAATAAGCCTCCTGCAGGGCACTTCAGAGTCTCCAGGAGCCTAGCACAGCACAGAGGTCCCTGGGTCTCTCATTCCTTAGCAATTGCTCAGTGCAGCCAACCCAGCTGTGTAGGCACCAGAGCAGCCCAGTGCTGCTGTCAATGAAGCTTACATCACAATTAAAGTATGCCAGGAAAAGAGGATGACTGGCACAACGAAAAGGGATGCCACACATGAGCTAAGATAGATCCAAAGCTAAAACTGCCGGGAACTCAGTCTGGCCGGAATGAGAGTAAGCGTGAGGTTGACGGTGCTGGCAGCAGGGTTGGCACGTACCTTTCCTCGCGGTTCTGTCCCACGCACACCCGGCCCCCGTGCCTGGGAGTGGGGTTGCTGCAGGAGCGCTGCCGCACCTGGAAGCCGATCCCACAGGTAGTGCTGCAGGGAGACCACGAGGTCCAAGGAGTCCAGCCTCCATTCCTGAGGAAGGGGAAGCAATGCAATCACAGGTCAGGTGGGCTCGGAGTCCGAGCCCTGTCTGCACCCACGGCTAAGCGCCTATGTTCCCAGGAGGATCCTGCCTGGGGCTGCTGGCCAGAGGGAACGCCAGTCATGGGCTGAATGGACTGCACCCTGTGAATCTCAATTCCTGTGTCTGCAGCCCCCAGGCATTTATAGTCAAGATAAGAAATTTGGGAATAAAGTTTTTAGTGCACTACAAATAATGAACTACATGAGAAACTACCAAGAAACTTGAGTTATGAAAATATTAAACTGATAAAGAATAAGGTTATTTCACTGAAAAGCATTTAGAAATGAATCCCTACTTCTCTAGAGTTTCTGACTTGTTGGACTTGTATTATATCATTTATAATCTATGAAAACTGCACACTTAAAAAAAATGTTTATCTAAAACTGCCTAACATGGTTTCTTTTAAAATCTATTAATATCAGTGAAAACCAATAACTCTCCTGAGTGCATTCATATTGATAAAGAGTGTTGTATTGTTAGAACAATGTTCAAAGCCTAAAACAAACTTTATTAAAAATTTTAAAAGGACATTTAAATTCAGATTCTTGGATATCTTTTAACAATTTGACAGAGACATAAAGAGTGCAGATAAGAAGTGCAAATTGCATATAACTAACTATGAATTTATGATATTACATGCATAGAATAATGTAGATATATAAAAATATAAAATGAAAATTAAATAAACCAATTTTTATATTTTAAAAAATTCTATTGACAGCCCTAGAAATGTTTTAGTATTATATTTTTCCCTTAAAATGACTGTATTCAGACTGCTTATAACTGAAGTATCCCCCCTTAACAGTTTGTCCCTGCTATCAAAAATATACATAGGTTTTTAAAAATTTTATGTGTGAAAATACATATTAAATCCAGATTCCAAACTTTCACATAGATGGTCTACTTCGTGCCAATTTTTTTTTACTTCTGCAACCACATATGCATTTCTTTGGATATTTGTCACCTTTTGGCCATAAGATTTACATTTCCTTTGAAAAAATACTAGCTCACATTAATTCTAATTTTTACTTTCTGTATTTCCATTGAGAACATGAAGCTCTACAACTATGCCACTGAAGGTCCTGGTATAAATAGTGCATTGAATATATAGTAGTAAAAATAATTTCAAATAAAAATTCTTGTGAGAAAATTCTTAAGATATTTCATATTTTCCTGCTTTATTTACTGAAACCTAATAATTTAATAAAATATGTAGTAATCGTTTTATGTATAACAAAGCTGTTTTATAATAATTTAACCAAAATTATCACACAATATTCCCACATTTCTCAAACTAGCTAGTATCTTAAACCCTGCTAGCTACAGTCTTAAAAATTATCCATGTTATTCACTGAATTACAGTAAAAATTTTAAATAGGAGTTTTAGTATACATAAATGACATTTAACTTGCAAAATTTCATTATATATGAAAAAAGTTGTTAGATAATGCAGAAAATTGAGCTTTTAAAATCATTTGAAAACTCTTTTTAAATCTTTTAGCAAATGTAGAATTTTATGACATATTCTATTTACAATATATGGAACATGTTTGTTTATAGGTTAGTAAGTAAATTAAATTATATATAATAGGAAAATAATACATGAGGAAAGAAGTGAATGCAGCTTTACATGTATATGTGTATTATCCAGATCTGAGTTTCCATATTTGTAAATGCTATTTAGAAGTAGACATAGTTACCAAAACAGTCACACAAAGTAAACAGAGATCAAGAGGGAAATCACTGTTATGATTATTAGTGCAAAGCAATCCACTTATGCCTCATTCAAACTAGTTCAGTTACTAGATTTTTATCTTAAAATAACTACTAGCTACACTGCAGCTTTGCTTAGAAAATGACTTTCCAACTAATGCAAGAACTGAAGACACATCAATAAGTTATAGCAATGCATATGATACTCTTCTTTTTCCATTAAACAATATGAGAAAAGAGTGTTAGCTACTTATTGTAATCTTCAAACAACAGCAGTTTGATTGCTTTTGTAAGTTTCTGCCAGGCATCCATGGAAATAATTTCGTTTTACAGGAAGTATAGGATACATAATACAATGTTGATATGCCTGTGTTCTCTGTAATACAAAAGAAAACTCCTAATCTCTGTGGCCCTGATTTGCTCCATTCAAATGGTGGTGAGAAAAATGGGAGCAGAGGGCAAAGTTCGCCTTTTGCTTCTGCACTTTCCTTTCCCAGTCGGCTTCCTCTTAGGTGCACACAGCTCCATGGCCTGGGCTCTCCTACGATTGGATCACCCAGTCTGACTTCCACTGTTAGTCACTTCATAAACAATTGTCCCAGAGTTTTTTATTTTTGTTTTTTTCATTTTAAATGGGCTTATGGAAGGCAGATCACATCTTTAAAAAATAGTGCAAATTAATGAACAAGTGACAAAGGAGCATGAAGACTGATGTCAGAGTGTTCCTGATACTTGCTTTAAAATGTCTCTGCGGTAAAGGTGCTATAGGTGCAGGGGATGGAGCACAAACAGAACAGAGTTATAAAAAAATCAAGCCAACACCACCACAATAAGTAGAAGCAACAGGAAAGCCATTCAATAGGTTACGTTCTTTCAGCTGCTCTCTTGATTACCCAGGGCCTAATGTTAGCTGAGGTGAGGTGCTCTGAGCTCCAATACATTACAGAGTAGACCAAGTTGATCAAGGACTTGGGTTATTCTATCTCCTAATCTAGCGTTATTATTCTACCACCAACAGACTATTAGTCCATATATTCCAGGAAAAGATTCTTAAATAACATGGATGTTTTCCTTAAACAAGCCAATCTTATTGTTTAAATTATAAATATGTTTTCTATTCTAATGAAGAGTATGTAAGTGTAGGTCTGTAATCCAATTTATAGTTTAGAATTTCCTTCCAAAGATCATGTAATGTTTAAGCAGTGAATGTCCCTGGTGTTTCACCACAGTTCTCTCCAAAAGGGAGTTATATTATGAATGATGTTCCAAATGCCTCAAGAATCTGAGTTTAGTACATAGCAGTACAACTGGCATGTTCTGGGGGGCACACCTGGAACAGTTGGCGATCTCCATGCTGGGGCCCTCACACTGCCAGCCCCCACACTGTGGGGCTGGGCTGTCGCAGGAGCGGGTCCGACACAGGCAGGAACCCATGGTGCTGCCATCTGTGTGCGTGCAAGGTGTCCACGGAGACCACATGCCAAAGGCTCCATCCATGGTGAGATTCCTGGTCTGGGAAGCAAAACAAAGTAGGGGTGTCAGAAAGGGTTAAAGTCTAACATATAATAGAGTAAAAAAAAATATCCATCATAAGACAAGCAAAACTTCTTTAGAATTTCTTTTTGTAATTGTTATAACTAGAAAAAGATTGCATAAGGGAGGAAGCATTCAGAGTAAAGCAGCAAAGGTCAGTGCTGGAGATGGTGAGGAAGAAGCGGGGAGGGAGGCCTGGGGAAAGTGGAGACAGAAAATTAGAAGAAAAGAAAAAGGAGAAAGATGAAGAAGGAGAAGGGAGAGAAGGAAAACAAGGAGAAGGAAAAGGAGGAGAAAAAGGAGGAGGAGGATGGCAGAAGGATGGCGGAGAAGAGAGGTGACTTGGCAATCAGGTTACAGGCAAATTGTCCACCAATGCGGAAAACCCAAAAACCAAGAGAAACTGGAGTGAAAAATCAAAGCTGTATAACACCACTGCATGCTTCTGTGTCTTTAAAGAATGAAAGCTTAGTCACATTTACCACGAGACTTGGTTTGGCTTTCAAACTGAAAGCATTCAATTCAAAACATATTTAAACAGTATCTATTGAGCAGCTACAGTACTTCTTTCTTAGGCATATCCCAGTCAAACCTGTGCTCTAATCGACTCTAAGAGCTTATGAGTCAGTGAGGACCAGCTTAGACACATAAGTGTTGCCCTGTGTAGAATCCAATGCTGGATTCAAAAACAGGGGCTATGGGAGCAGAGGACAGGACATACAACAGGCGCACAGGTTCTCGGAAGAGCAACAAGGGGCCTGTTTTGATTCTTAAAGAATGAAGAAAGAGCCAAGTAGAGGGGCTGGCAAGGGCTGGCAAGGCTGAGGGCAGAGGAATGAGGCTGCCAAATGGGAGGGGCACCAGGGCGTTCCCTGTCAGTGTAGGGTGAGCTGGTGATTCGGGGAAGCAACACCAAGGACTGAGGAGGAGCCCAGGGCAGGGTCCTCATGGGGAGTGGCCAGGGACCCCCCTGAGCTTGCTGGTGTGGCACCTCTGAGGGCACTCAAGGGGAGGGCATGGCATCGCTGGCACATGCATGACCAGCTCTGGTGTGGCGGAGGCACCGGCGTGTACCTGGCTCACTGAAGAAGGGGCAGCTTCCTGCCAAATCTGATAAGCACATCTGCTCAGGGGGTGGCAGTGCTGCTGGAGGAGACTCAAAGGACACAGCCTAGATCACCTGCCCAGAAACCAGCAAAGGAACCTCTCCTCAGAAAGGCAGTAGGAAGAAGCCTAAGTCTAAGTCTCCTGCTTTGTTGTTGCTGTTGTTGTTTTGAGACAGAGTCGCCCAGGCCGGAGTGCGGTGGTATGATCTAGGCTCACTGCAACCTCTGCCTCCTGGATTCAAGCAATTCTCATGCCTCAGCCTCCCAAGTAGCTGGGAACAGAGACACATGCCACCACAACAGCTAATTTTTGTATTTTTAGTAGAGACAGGTTTCACCATGTTGGCCAGGCTTGTCTCGAACTCCCTGCCTCAAATGATCTGCTGTCCTTGGCCTCTCAAAGTGTTGGCATTACAGGCATGAGCCATCATGCACAGTCTCCAAACCTCCTAATTTTAATATGGAAACTTAAGCATACCTTAGAAAATTCGACCAAGGAAGGGCTTTGGTGATGAGTGAACTGCATGCTTTCACCTTGCCCTCTGCAGCCGGCTGCACCCCACCTCCTCCGCCAGAGTTCTGTTCCAGAGCCATCCACTACCTTCAGAAAGGCTCGTCCTCACAAGAAGCAACTCCAGGGATGAGACAGTTCATTCTCTGAGCTACACACTACACCCATACTTCACCATTTCAAAATAATGCTGACACCGTATTTTGTGGGTATAAATATGGACAAACTTTACTTTTGATTTGTCATTGCCTCCAAATACAAGAGGAACTAAACATGAAAAGCATTCATTTTTTTCTGACATGACTGGTTGGCCAAATCCAATTGCTATAATTATGACTCTATCCCTCTTTTCTTTTCTTTCTTTTTTTTTTACATACAAATGTTTATAGCAGGATTATTCATAATAGCCAAAATACAAAACAAACCCATAATGGTCATAAACTGATTAGTGGTTGAATAAAAACTGGTATAGTCACACAATGGAATATCATTCAGAAACAAACACTGAAGCATATATATACAGCAATATGGATGAACCTTGAATTTATTATGCTAAATGAAAGAAGCCATTCACAAAAGACCAACTATTATCTTTTTTTTTTTATTATTGCACTTTAGGTTTTGGGGTACATGTGAAGAACATGCAAGATTGTTGCATAGGTACACACATGGCAGCGTGGTTTGCTGCCTTCTATCCCCTCACCTGTATCTGTCATTTCTCCCCATGCTATCTATTCCCACCTCCCCACCCCCTGTCCCTCCCCCATTTCCCCCCAACGGACCCCAGTGTGTAGTGCTCCCCTCCCTGTGTCCATGTGTTCTCAATGTTCAACACCCGCCTATATGAGTGAGAACATGTGGTGTTTGATTTTCTGCTCTTGTGTCAGTTTGCTGAGAATGATGGTTTCCAGGTTCATCCATGTCCCTACAAAGGATACGAACTCATCGTTTTTGATGGCTGCGTAATATTCCATGGTGTATATGTACCACATTTTCCCTATCCAGTCTATCATCGATGGGCATTTGGGTTGGTTCCAGGTCTTTGCTATTGTAAACAGTGCTGCAATGAACATTCGTGTGCATGTGTCCCTATAGCAGAATGATTTATAATCCTTTGGATATATACCCAGTAATGATGGGATTGCTGGGTCAAACGGGATTTCTATTTTTAGGTCATTGAGGAATCGCCACACTGTCTTCCACAATGGTTGAATTAATTTACATTCCCACCAACAGTGTAAAAGTGTTCCTATTTCTCCACATCTTCTCCAGCATCTGTTGTTTCCAGATTTTTTTAATGATCGCCATTCTAACTGGTGTGAGATGGTATCTCAATGTGGTTTTGATTTGCATTTCTCTAATGACCAGTGATGATGAGCATTTTTTCATGGTTGTTGGCCTCCTGTATGTCTTCTTTTGTAAAGTGTCTGTTCATATCATTCGCCCATTTTTGAATGGGCTTGTTTGTTTTTTTCTTGTAGATCTGTTTTAGTTCTTTGTAAATTCTGGATATCAGCCCCTTGACAGGTGGGTAGACTGCAAAAATTTTTTCCCATTCTGTTGGTTGCCGATTCACTCTACTGACTGTTTCTTTTGCCGTGCAGAAGCTGTGGAGTTTGATTAGGTCCCATTTGTCTATTTTGGCTTTTGTTGCCATTGCTTTCGGCGCTTTGGTCATAAAGTCCTTGCCTACGCCTATGTCCTGAAAGGTTTTGCCTAGATTTTCTTCTAAGGTTTTTATGGTGTTAGGTCTGATGTTTAAGTCTTTAATCCATCTGGAGTTAATTTTGGTGTAAGGTGTCAGGAAGGGGTCCAGTTTCTGCTTTCTGCACATGGCTAGCCAGTTTTCCCAACACCATTTATTAAACGGGGAATTCTTTAATTGCGTGTTTTTGTCAGGTTTGTCGAAGATCAGATGGTTGTGGGTATGTTGTATTTCCTCTGAGGCCTCTGTTCTGTTCCATTGGTCTATATCTCTGTTTTGGTACCAGTACCATGCTGTTTTGATTACTGTAGCCTTGTAGTATAGTTTGAAGTCTGGTAGTGTGATGCCTCCTGCTTTGTTCTTTTTGCTTAGAATTGACTTGGCTATGCGGGCTCTATTTTGGTTCCATATGAAGTTTAAGGTGTTTTTTTTTTTTCCAGTTCTGTGAAGAAGGTCATTGGTAGCTTGATGGGAATAGCATTGAATTTGTAAATTACTTTGGACAGTATGGCTATTTTCATGATGTTGATTCTTCCTAACCATGAACATGGAATGTTTCTCCATCTGTTTGTGTCCTCTCTTATTTCGTCGAGCAGTGGCTTGTAGTTCTCCTTGAAGAGGTCCTTTACGTCCCTTGTTAGTTGTATTCCTAGGTATTTTATTCTCTTTGTAGCAATTGTGAATGGCAGTTCATTTTTGATTTGGCTCTCTTTAAGTCTGTTACTGGTGTATAGGAATGCTTTTGATTTTTGAACATTGATTTTGTATCCTGAGACTTTGCTGAAGTTGCTTATCAGTTTCAGGAGATTTTGGGCTGAGACGATGGGGTCTTCTAGGTATACAATCATGTCATCTGCAAATAGAGACGCTTTGATTTTATCCTTTCCAATTTGGATACCCTTTATTTCTTTTTCTTGCCTGATTGCTCTGGCTAGAACTTCCAGTACTATATTGAATAGGAGTGGTGAGAGAGGGCATCCTTGTCTAGTGCCAGATTTCAAAGGGAACGCTCCCAGTTTTTGCCCATTCAGTATGATATTGGCTGTTGGTTTGTTGTAAATAGTTTTTATTGTTTTGAGATGTGTTCTGTCGATACCTAGTTTATTGAGGGTTTTTAGCATAAAGGGCTGTTGAATTTTGTCAAAGGCCTTCTCTACATCAATTGAGATAATCATGTGGTTTTTGTCTTTGGTTCTGTTTATGTGGGGAATTACGTTTATGGACTTGCATATGTTGAACCAGCCTTGCATCCCCAGGATGAATCCTACTTGATCATGGTGGATGAGCTTTTGGATATGCTGTTGCAATTGGTTTGCCAGTATTTTATTGAAGATTTTTGCATCTATGTTCTTCATGGATATTGGCCTGAAGTTTTCTTTTCTTGTTGAGTCTCTGCCAGGTTTTGGTATCAGGATGATGTTTGTCTCATAAAATGATTTGGGAAGGATTCCCTCTTTTGGATTGTCTGGAATAGTTTCAGAAGGAATGGTATCAGCTCCTCTTTGTATGTCTGGTAGAATTCAGCTGTGAACCCATCTGGGCCTGGGCTTTTTTTGGGTGGTAGGCTCTTTATTGCTGCCTCAACATCAGACCTTGTTATTGGTCTATTCAGGGTTTTGGCTTCTTCCGGGTTTAGGCTTGGGAGGATGCAGGTGTC